GTACGGGCGCGACACTGAGGGTTGCGATCCGTTGCCGGACACGAAAAAAAAAAAAAGGAAAGACACATCCTTCCTCTAACCCTTGCCACAGAGCATTCCCACTATTGCTGAACAAAAATTAATATATTCCCACAAATATTTTTTCTTGGAAAATCTTAGTGTATTGAATACAGGCCCTTGACACTTGGGAATGGAAACCTTGTTTACAGCCCAAAGCAGGAGCCTCTCAGATATGCGCACGCCCAGCAAGCTTGGTGTCAGGGCTAAGCATAGGCAGGGAGGACAGTGTTGGCACAGAGTGAACATGAACTTTCACATGTAGTCTAGATAACATAAATGAACTTAAAAATAAACCAGACAGGTTTACACTTGGCAAAAAGATGTGGAACACAAATGGACAGACGGAAGCAAGGTCAGGAGTGGGAAGGCTAGGAGCGAAGTGGACCCTGGGCCCCAGCAGCTCCAGTTGAGTTCTAACTGGCAGGAGGCTGGTCACATGGCCAATGCTCCCTCCTCCACCAGCAGGCAGGGAGGAAGTCTTCCCTGGGCCTGTGCAGGAGAAGCAGGTGATACCGCCTCTTTTGGCCCTAGTAAAGACAAAGAGACCTGGGCAGTATCTTCAGGACAAACTAAATAGAAAATGGCCAAAGAGCCCTTTAAAGGCTGCAGAAAGTGTCTCCTGAGAATTCTGGCTTCCCCTGCCACAGCCTGTATGGGGCCAGAGCGTGCTGGGACTGTGTCCTGCACAGGCTGATGGACAGTGGCAACCACGGGAGGTCATGTGGCAACACCTCCAGCCACTTCGCTGAGCAAGTAAAAAGCACTGGACCCATGGTGTGGCTGTTCTGAAGCTGAAGCATGTCTTCATTCAGGGGATGTTTAAGAAGATTACAAATGGCACAATGTAAAGGACAATCTCTACAGTAATACCAGGAGGGAACACTTGACCGAGTCCATTTGAGCAAGACTTGGAGCCCTTGAACAAGCACATGGAGTAGAAGGAGGTCAGTGCTCAAGAGTGATTAACATGGTTCCTTCATGACAAATCATGCTAGGTTCAGTGTGGAATCATGAGAGTGAATAAAGGGCACACCGACAACCTGACCAAATTTAAAGATAGAGATCCAGGGAGTACAGTAACACCTGACCCCTGACCTCTCCTTTGGGATCCAAATCTAACATGTACTATGTAACGAGTGAATAAAGGGCACACCGACAACCTGACCAAATTTAAAGATAGAGATCCAGGGAGTACAGTCACACCTGACCCCTGACCTCTCCTTTGGGATCCAAATCTAACATGTACTATGTAACGGGTAATGCAGAACTCACTGGGTCACAAAGTCATTCACTAGCCTATAAAATGCTGGCTGTCAAATTCCTCTTTGATCCTAACTTACACACATTTCTTCTGAGGAACTACAACTTCACTTTTAAAGGGCTCAGGCTCTCTTTCCAAGGCCTTTGCAGAGACATGGTATTTGTCTGCACACACTTCCTGCTGATGGAAACAAGACCAGGCCACTGACATGGTATCTGCAAGCCTGTGATGGAGGGGAGCATGGTTAGTCTGAATTGTGAGAAGAGGAATTTTTGCTCCTTTCTTCCTATCCCAATATTCTCACTCAGAGCAGGGGTAACTCTTTGCAAAAAGCTCGAGGACCCTCCCGAGACCACATCACTTCCTTTCAGCAACTGGTCTCCAGCATCTTAGCACATCCCAGGCCTTCTTGGCAGGAACTGCAGAGCAGGAGGTGGGTGTACAGGGTGAGCGCAGGGATAAGGGCAGAGGCATCATCTCCCACCAAGTTCATGTTCAGCAGACTGCCACTCACCGGGTAAGCAGACCTCAGAGCACAGCTTATTGTCCAGTGCTTTCACGCTTGCGATGTCAAAGTCATTGTTATTGTCACACTCCATACCTAGAAATACGCATGTCCTCTGGCCTGTAACGGAGTTAATGCAGTTAGAGAGGGGCTGGCTATGTTTTTCTCTGCTTTGCTGTCCTTAAAATAAAAATTTTAAAAATGGAGACAAAAAAGTCAAATCATATGTTAAAAAAGACTATAAGTCGGTAAAGAGTGGACAAAAAGGGGGTCAAATTGTGTGGGCATGTCTGTGTTCTCGTGCCATCCTGCTGTCTCCCTAATTGGCCCCTTTCCATCTGCTGTTCTCTAATAGGTCAGATCACCGGGAGGGCTGTGGGACACAGGCTCAACAGAGAACCACAACAGCAGGCAGAGCTCTGCCAGTGGCCAGGCCAGTGAGACTGTGGCTGACAGGCGCTACAGAAAACCAATGGGATCACCCTGCTCATGCCAGTGTCTATCTCGGGGCAAACTGGGTATGTTCATGACCACAAGGCTCTGCAAAATGATGCATACATAAAGCAACAACTAAAGGTCTTAGGTTCCATAATTTTGCATGCCAAATCAGAATGACCACATTCACAAAATTATGATTAAAGTTCTTCTGAGACCTAAGCCGTTATTTTGAGTATGTTTCAACTGACTAACCAGAAACCTACAGACAGGTAAGAGGGGATGGGGAAAGTTTTAGAAGTTATTTTCCAAGTTCCCCTTCTTTTTTTCCCTTGGTGAAAGGGAGATAAGAAGACATAAACCCGCAGTGTGGGCTGGAGAATGTCAGGCAGAAACAAACCTGGCCTTTCTGCACCTTTTTTTTGGCAGCTGGCTGGTAAGAGGATCCAAACCCTTGACCTTGGTGTTATCAGCACCACGCTCTAACCAAGTGAGCTAACCAGCCACTCCATGCTGCACTTTTTAGAAGCAAATATTCTACGGGGAAAACAATCAGAAAGGATAACTATGGAACTTTGAGCACTGAAGTCATCAATGAGGTCAGTGAAGCTTGCAGACCTGCTTGGGCTGGTGTGCAAGAGTGTGCGGGAGGCCCAGCCTCATGGCCCCATCCTTTCCTTCAGGCTCCAAGGCCAGGGGGAGCTGTCCAGTCTGCATGCATACCCCCTGACACTCCCCAAGCAATGGCCAGCGCTAAAGCAGAAGCGACTGGGATGACATCGCACACGTGTGCTCTGGAGGTGCCCTCTGCAGGAGGCATCTCCAGCAGCAGAGGGAAGAGTCTGGCTTCTGGAACATGCAGTGCCCCCTGCCCAGGGTGACTTTTCCAGCCCCCTTCTTCCTATTTCCTTGCTCTGTAGGTCATTCTTTCTTTTCTAGCCTTACTAGAAACAAAATTCTTCCAACTGAAGATATAATTGAAGACTGAACTATGGTAAAAAAAAATCATTACAGGACATTCTTGGGGGGGAGGGGAGAGAGGGAGGAGGGCGGGAGGTGTCGGTGATGGGCCATAATAATCATATATATTGTATATTGACAAAATAAAAATTTAAATTAAAAAAAAAATCATTACAACAGACTACAAAATACTTGGCTAAGATAAGCTGCTGAAGAAACTCGTATCTGTTTCCTAACGACAACTTTAATGTGTCTGCTGGCTCCTGAGACCCCTTTTTTTACAGTGACGCCAACCATTTTCTTCACTAAAGCAAAACCCGACCAGCTCAAATAGTTCTCCCTCCCAAATGGAAGAAACTGCTACTGCTGCTCCATATCGGGGCTGCTAGAGCAGCTTGGTGGGGCTCAGCTGGAAAGCTGCACAGGAAGGCAGGCGACAGGCATTACCCAAGAAGCTCCAGAATCTACTAAATGTAAATGTAGAACTATACATGCCTTCTGCAGCATCCTCACCCTGACATCCCTGGCTCTGAGTCTCAGAATGAGCTGGGAAGGTCACTGAGGTCACTGATAACCTTCTTGCTTTGATGTGCCATTGAGAGACAACCTTTCCCCCAACAGCTACACAGCTGAGCAGTGCCACCAAGTCACGCCGCACCCCTTTCTTTACTCTTAAAAGAATACCCAGGGGGCCGGCCCGGTGGCGCACTGGATAGTGCGCCGCTTGGGAAGCGCGGCGGCGCTCCCGCCCGAGGGTTCGGATCCCACATACAGACCGGTTCCCGCTCACTGGCTGAGCGAGGCGCGGGAGCAACACCGAGGGTTGCAATCCCGTTGCCGGTCCCGGTCCGGTGCGGGGGTGACACTGAGGGTTGCGATCCGTTGCCGGACATGGAAAAAGACAAAAGACAAAAAAAAAGGGCCAGCCCGTGGCTCACTCGGTAGAGTGCGGTGCTGGTAACACCAAGGCCGCGGGTTCGGATCCTATATAGGGATGGCTGGTTCACTCACTGGCTGAGCGTGGTGCTGACAACACCAAGCCAAGGGTTGAGATCCCCTTACCGGTCATCTTTTAAAAAAAAAAAGAATACCCAGGAAAGAAATATAAGAGGAAACAAAGGACCGGGACTTTTACCATCTTCTTGTGTGGGTGATCCATCCTCTTCCTCTATGACATCGTTTCCCTAGGACAGAAGGAAGGCCCTATGAGTCTGTAAAGCAAGTAAAATGAGTACACGGATCGGCTGGAGGCAGAACTAATCATCCTAATGGCATCTGACTCCAGGGCCTACGTTAATAGTGTACATTTCTCTTCTTTAATATGCCCAGAAGGCTTAGCAGAGGCAGAGTTTGCCCGGTGAGGCACGACTGACCTACAGGGACCAGGTCTGAGCCGCATTATAGATATATGCTTGGATGGTCTGTCAGGAATACCCTTGTTAATAGCTTAGCAATATTGTTTCTCTTCGGTGGAAATAAAAGCTATTAAATGAAAAAGCAAATCGTGAGATCATAAAACTTTCAGAAGTCTCTTAGGATCCCAAACTACGTCCAAATTCTCCTTTGAGAGCAGCTGGCTCCAGAAAACTTCTAGAACCGTCACTGTGAGCCGGGCATTCCATGGCATGCCACAAACACCATGGTGAAGGTACTCCTCGCACTGAACCGTAATCCTGTCTGCCCACTGGATGGGGCTCCTGGATGGGGGGAGTAGGTGGGGGAGGCAGAAACCTTGCCACTCAGGCCTGCATGTGCCCTAGTGCTAGGGAGCACCTGCGACATAGTCACCCTGTGCAAACTAGATGAACGAAGGCCAACACATTCTCAAGGCCCAGGGGCTGGCCCAGAAAGTTCCTTCTTGACCTCACTCCACGCCAATCTTGCTTAGAACCAGTGGCCTCTGCTGCCCAGTCAGTCCACAGGCCAGAGAGGGCAGCTGCTTTTGCTGCCATCCCACACTCCACTTCTAAGTGACCTGGGCTCGCCACCCAGGAGGGCTGCAATGCTGTGTCCTCACTGGCACCCCCGGCCACTGCTGGGGAAGGGGTTACCTCTGCATCCTGCCCTCCTGCTGGGAGGTCAGCAAAGTTGCTATCCGGAGACTCCACTGGCATCCCCTGCAAAAAAAGCAATGAAGACCCAGGGCACAGTTAGCACAGGCTCTCCTAGCATACGTTCATAACAGCAAACCCAACCCCCGTCTTCTTCAGTACAAAATTAGGGCTGAGCAGAAGAGTCCAATCTAAGGGAATGTCTTGTTTTCCACAGCACTCCTCCCAAGCACTTTGGGGGCTCTGCGGCCATCTCTGGTAGACCTTTTGTTAAGTTACTTCGGACACGTATGCAAAGCACAGGGAAGCAAGCATGGTCCTTGTGCCCTTCCCTTACCTCTCCTTCCTCTGAGGGGGCCCTGCAGGCAGCCTGGGGGGAAGGGAGAGCTTCTCCCTCCTCTTCAGTGCCAGGGGCGACGTAGGAGCCAGACATGGAGGAGACCGTGTCAGTGCTGATCTGGGAGGAAGCCATGGACATGACCGACTGGGCCAAACTGCTACTGGCAGGGTCTTTGGAGACAGAAGTTGGAGGAAGGAGAGAGACGTCAGGCATAGTTTCTACAGACTTAATGAGGAGCAGAGCCGTGCCAGGGGCGACGTAGGAGCCAGACATGGAGGAGACCGTGTCAGTGCTGATCTGGGAGGACGCCATGGACATGACCGACTGGGCCAGACTGCTACTGGCAGGGTCTTTGGAGACAGAAGTTGGAGGAAGGAGAGAGACGTCAGGCATAGTTTCTACAGACTTAATGAGGAGCAGAGCTCTCTCCTGCACTCAGGCAGTGAGGAGAACTGTGGCCTTATCTCACCCTCCCCTAAAGAAGATTTTAGGTTTAAGGTTTTCCAAGATTCTGCTCCTTCATATGTCAAAGCTCAGAACTCAACCTCAGGGACCAGGGATTTGCTTTTCCCTGTTGCAATTTAAAGGAAATCTGATGATGGCAGGACTGGGACTAAGAGAACTGATCTCCCCTAGCACAGGGTAAGCCCACTGTCCCGTCCCATCGTAGAAGAGCAAGTCCCCTTCCCTCTCAAGTCGGGGCCTATGTAAGTCAAGCAGCTCAGATATTGGCTCACTGCTCCCAAGTCCATTCCTGGAGACAAAACCAGGACAACTGTGGACTCGGTTGAGTGGAAAAAATGTGCAGCTGCCCCCTGCACCCATCTGTACCTTCTGGGGAGGAAATTGTGGAAGAGAGAGGCGTCCCTGTGCAAGATGACTGGTCGATAGCTCCCGATGATGACAAGGTGAGATTTTCGCTTTCTGGAGTGACACCACATTCCTGGGGAGTGTGGGAGGACACTGAGTGAGCACAAGTCGAACGTGCTGGAGAAGAAGGTAAGGGCAGGGTTCCTGGGTAGGGGTGAGGAGGAAAGGGGCACTGGGAGGAGCTAAGGCCCCCTACTGCCAGTCGACGTGAGTGGCACATAGAGGAAGTGCCAGCTTCTCTCCTGTTGTCACTCCACCTCAGCCCCGCCTGGATGGCTGTCTCCCAGGGGAGGGCACATTTCAGTCAGCACCTCCTGCCTGAGGCAAAGCATCTGCTGGGGCCATACAAAGATTGCAGCTCAGGTGACACAGGTCTCGTAGCAGCTGTGACATGGGGACACCCCAGGTTTCCCTGGGATTTGAACAACTTTCCTTCTGAAGGAAAAGAATAGAAAACCCGCAGAGGGCTCACTGCCTGCAGAATGGATGTGGACACCCAGTTAGTTCCAGCTCAATCGGTCTCAAACAAACAATGCCTTTCTTCCCCAAGCTGACTCCTCCCACACCCCATCTGTGACCCTGACCCCCATCTGTCAGTCACCTGAGCACACACCTCACCCGTCCCAAGTAGATGCAAAGTTCTACTGACTGTATCTCCACAATCTGCTCTCTCCTCTCCAGGCATTCCCTCCAGCCTGGGCCACCAAGACCGGTTCCTGGCTCTGTCTGTCTCCTGCCTAACCCAGTCTACACACCCTATCAAGCTGCCCTGGGGGAGCCCAGCTCTCACTGTATCACTGGCCTGCCATGAGCCTCTGCCTACACCGTCCCCCCACTACCTGGAGGTTTCTCTCACCTTTCTTCCATGTCTAAAACATTTCAAGATTCAACTCAAAGGCTGCTCCTCTATAACACTTTTCTGATTTCCTCCACTTATGGTAATCTTGTACCTCTCTGCCACAGCACTTTATTGTCCCTGTTTTGGGTGCACTTATTTTCTGCAGTTAAAACTAATTCATTTGTTCATTCATTCAACAAATAGTTACTGAACAAGAGCAACATGCCAGGTATGGAGCTATGATTCATGTACATGTCCTGTCCTAGCTAGACCTGAGCTCCTAAGGACAGGGACACTTTATTATCTTTGTATGTCCTGCTGTACCTAGCTCAGCACCTACAGACAGTAGACAGATAATAACCCTCTGTTAAGTAAAGTCTGTGAAGGATGCACAGTGTAGAAAATGCCAGCCTTCCACTTACGCACTGGCCTCCCAGCACACGGCCTCAGTGCCTTCCACCTGCTGCCCTATGCCTGGGGTCCTTGTTCTCGTATATCTGCATCACTTGCTCTCCCACCACCTTCAGTCTCTGTTCCTGGACCACTTTTAAAACGGTAACCCCACTTCTAGGCTGGGTACCCCTTTCCCCTCGGCTGACACACTGATCCACAGGACCATCTGACACACCCACGTTTTTTGCTTATTGTCTTTGTATCAACCCCCACCCCAACTAGCAAGAATACAAGTGCCATGAGGGCAGGGACTTTTGTAGTTTCTTCATTGCAACCATCCTCAGCAGACAGGCCTGGTAAATAATACTGACTCCATATATTATTGAACAAATGAATCTAACAAAACCTTAGCTGCTACCTCAGAGGGTATTAAAAAGGTGTTTGATGAATGAATGAAAGCAGATGGACATAAACAGCCATGCGCAGACAGGCCTGGTAAATAATACTGACTCCATATATTATTGAACAAATGAATCTAACAAAAGCTTAGCTGCTACCTCAGAGGGTATTAAAAAGGTGTTTGATGAATGAATGAAAGCAGATGGACATAAACAGCCATGGAGGTAGGAGGAAAGTACCTGGAGCCCAACACCCAAGAAAGGGAGAAGAATGTAAGTTACCTCTCTGAGATGATGAGCTGATGGTCTCTGAGAGAGCTGTGTCTCCGACTCACTGCAAGAACGTTCATCTTCCTCTTCATGCAACACGGAGGAATTTTGGGAAATGGATCTGTAAAAGTCCAGAGGGAAAAGCAGCTGTATCCAATATCCATTTAAAGAATGGAATTTACCCTGTATTCCATTAACCAGACTTCATAGGAAGAGGAGGACCTACGGGAGGGGAATTGAAGAGGAAATCCAAATCTTAAGGAGGAGGAGAAGAGAGGAGGGGAAGAGAACCAGAGAGGGACTGAGACCTCTTCTGGGTGTCAGCAACTCTAACATTTACCTTTACCTCGTTCAATGACTTGCTGTCTATACTTGGGATGAATCACTGACATTTTCAGGGTCTCAGTATTTTCATCTGTAAAATACTCTCCTTTACTCTGCCACAGAAACCTTGTCACAACTTTAAATGGTTAAAAGATACAGATCCCGTTTCCTTCAGCCTTCAGACTAAGGGATGCTCTCCACCATTCAGGCCCTATCCACAGTGCTCCATGTCCTCTTCCCTGTACCCCAATCCCTGCCCCCCAGAAAAGAAAGCACATGTAAGATATCTGTCTAATCAATTCTCCTAATTATCTAACATACCATTTTTTTTTTTGGCAGCTGGTCAGTATGGGGATCCGAACCTGTGACCTTGTGTTATAAGACTGTGGTCTAACCAATTGAGCTAACTGCCCAGCCTTACTTTCATTTCTTAATGTATGGGTAATCTTCCTCCCAAGGGTTCACCTCAGGTCTTTTGTGAGACTAAGCAGCTCTGGGAACAGCCCAGAGGGTCTAGTATGTCCCAGGGCCCCAGGACTTGCTCCAGCCTGCAGCAGGAGTACGATGGGTTGAAAGTGTTCATCAAGGACCCTAGGGACAATGCTGTTGAGCACTGCTACTCACTTGGAAAGACTTTTTTTGAGCTTGAGTCCTTGGCTGCTGCAGTCAGACAGGCGGTCAAGTGGGGAGAGCGTCCTGACAGGGGGCAGGTGGCCATCGCTGCCATATGAAGGTAGCATTCCTGAGAGGTGGCCATCCCCAAGCACGTGAAGTGGAGGGACTGCTGGGGATGGGGTGAGGGGCCCATTGAGGGCCTCCAGGAGAGACACCACTTCATAACCTGGTGGAATATTCTCTGAGGACTAGGGGAATCAGAGACAGGTTGAAAAATTAATTAAGTACATTTTGCTGTATGGCTTGATCATGTTTCTTACTCTACACTAAAAAATGTTTTCTTTTACATCTGGTCTGGGGTGTCTGGCAAAAATATCCTCAGCATTAGAGGCAGAGAAAAGATAAAATGTCAAAGAATCACAGATTCCTAGTATGTACCACATTTATTTAGAAACCAGAAAGCTGCATTGCCCTTGCTTTCATAGACTGTATAATAAACCCCCTCCTAATTTGAAGGGTGTTATAATAGGGTTAGGAATTTCTTTTTTTTTTTTATCAAAACATAACTGATAGTACATATCTGTAGGGTACAGTGTTGAATATTAATACCTGTATGCAATATGTGATGCTCAAATCAAGATAATTAGTATATTCAACATTACACAGTATGTATTTTGTGGCCCTTTTTTCCTGATTTTAATAAAATATATATTCATTACAGGGAATTTAGAAAATGCATAAAAGTAGAAGCAAGGGAAAAAAATCACAAATAATCAAATCACCCAAAGTAACTTTTGTTGGCATTCTGGTGTATTTTCTTACAATTTTCTTTTCTTTGAACTATTTACACAGTTATGATCAATCTGTAAGTAACAATTTTATATCCTCCTTACTTCACTGAACGTGAATATTTTCCTATGTCTTTGAAACCTCTTCCATATACATCCCCTTTTCATAGACAACATAAGTTTCTGAACTATTTTATAAGTGCTGGGTATTTAGTTGTATCCAACATGTCTTATTGTAAATGTTGTGATGAACATCCTTGTATATAAATCTTACTCCAGATTATTTTATTGGTATTAAATTCTTAGACCTTAGACTACTAGGTATAAATGTTTTTGAAGGCTCTTGATATATACAGCTGTTTTGTTTTGAATTTTCAATGCCCTTTCCAGTTATACTCCTATAAGCAGTACAGAATTCCCATTTTGATTGCCTCTCTGCCAGCATGGAGTACCTTTAAAAAGGAAAGTTTTTCAATTTGAAAGGTGAAAAATGGTATCTTATTTTATTTTGCATATTGTTGATTTTTAATGGAATCAAATTTTTTTTCCTTTTTTTTTTTTTGTGATGCTGGCCAGTACAGGGATCCAAACCTGTAACCTTGAGGTTATAAGGCTGCATTCTAAGCAACCGAGCTAAGCAGCCAGTCCTGAACTTTAAAAAAATGATTGTTAACCAGCTATATTTCCTCATTTGAGAATTTTTTGTTTACATCCTTTGCCCATTTATGTATTGTTTTATTTATATGAGCTATGGCAAAGATACTACTAGCCTTTCCTCTTACATATACTCATATGTTGTGCTTTTTTTTTCTTTAAACAATTTGTTGTTTGTTTTTTAATTTGGGTCACCTTTTAGACCTCTGTAGTGTTGAACTTTTTATGTGGTCAAATCTACAGGTTCTTTTTTTTTCCAGTTTTCCACTGCTTTCAAGCTTATGGTCCGCCCCCAACCAAAGTCAAACAAATAATCATCTATAATTAATTCCAGGTTTTTTTTAATTCTAAGTTTTCAATGTTTTGTTTGGTTTGCTTTGCTTTTAATATAGTTAACCCGTTACTCCATCTAAAATTTATTTGTTATCTGGTAAGAAGTAAAATGCTAAAGTGATTTTCCCTCCCTAAATAGCTAACTAATTATCCTAACACCATCACTGAATAATAAATATCTCTCACCAGTGGGTTAATCTATGAAACCGAGGTCAATTATTTTGTCTACTCGGCTTCCAGTCACTGAAGCCATGAAATGGGATAAAGAAAAAGTTACCTTCTTCAAGGATTCAAATAAAGATAGCAAATTGTATTCAAATCCAAAACAATCATCCCCTTGTTTCTACTTGGGTGAGTTCCAGAACTGGACCCCATTGCAGGGAAACTGTGAGCAGATGGCTCTAGGAATGGTAAACATTAACTGGAAAACACGTTCCCAAGGAAGCAAAGGGAAGTTTTAATGACCAGTACTCAATTTTCTGTTGTAATATTGGTTGGTTTAACACAGCACGATCACAGCTGGCCTACTAAGTACTTCAATGTGCCAAGGTTTAAGTCCTTGCTGCAACGCCATTTAAAAAAGGGCGGGGGAAAAAAAAAAAAAAAAAAAAAAGCCAGCAAGGACACCATAGAGCATTTAATTCAGAGCGGCTGTGTTTCTGAGCCCAACTTACTGAATGCTCTTCAGAGTCAGATGTCTGGGATGAGATGATGGGGTTAAAGCTGGTTGGGGACAAGGGGCCCAATTTTTTCCTCATGGCTCTGATCTGAAGCAGTGCCCGGAAGGCTGTGAAGAAGAAAACAGACAATCAGGACATCCTGATGCAGGATTAAGGATGAACAAGAGCCCAGACAGATACCACAATCCCTCCCAGCATTCATCACTTTGCCAGAAAATGTCCTTCTTGTCCTCACTCCCACCTGCCACTCCCCCTGCCTCTCTGGGGCTTACGCAGTCGGCAGATGGGGCAGTTGTTGGCCTGGTAGCGCAGGGTGTCTGCACAGGTGTTACAGAGGCAGAGGTGGCGACAGGGCAGAATCAAGGTGTCCCGAACATCTGAGAGACATACCACACACTCAGCACTGTTATCACTCACTTCGTCGTCAGCCACCTGGCCAGGGAGACAGAAATTTAGCCAATGACACATTGCCCTTCATGTCCCATACTTTATTTACAAGACAGCTTGGCTGAAGGGCTGAGATGAATAATAAGAACAAAACCTACACTGATGTTGGACTTTATAGTTTACCCAGTACTTTTGCATACTTAGTTTCACTGCTCTGAGAACTGTTTATCTAAAGTGGAGAGGATGGAACTAAGCACTCCAGCTTATCCTATGAGGCTCACGTCTGGTCCTCTCTGACAGTCTGAGCTCAAAGGACCTAGGGGACCACACAGATGAAGAGGAAACAGCAATGAAAGGACCCTGACAGGAAACCGAGCTGAACAGAGCTCTGTAGCAGAAGGACAAATCCACGCCAGCCTCTTTTGCTATTTCCAAAGTGATATCAGCATAATAATCTGAAGTGAGGAACAATAAAATGCCCTTCTAGGACCTAACTGATTTCATAGTTTGGCACACTAAATCCCTAGATCCTGGCTTTATCAGAGAATTTCTGACTCTGCCTCCTGGGAAGAGTACCTTCAGAATTTTGGACAAAACTTACCTTAGAATCTTGTGTGTTGCACTTGTTTTCAATTCCATAGATTTCCTGAAGGAGGTAGCTGACCCCATCTACCTGAACAGCAAACAGAAAAGTTCAAGGACTGGCTGACTCTACTGTGAGACAAGAATGGAAACTCCCCGCACCCTCCACCATCGGTAACCAAGGACTACTGATTCACAAGAGAAAAAATCAAAGGCCTAGCCAAGTAAAGGATGCTTTTATTTACTTATGTTTTCTCTTTGAGAGGGGAAGAAAAATTAAATGTTTAACTCACCTACCATTAAATCCAACAGGGGACATAAAATTTCACAAATGCTACAATAATTCTTATACTGAAGCTCACTATTCTGGACAGTTAAGAAAAAAAGAAACAGACTAGAAAAAGGATGGAAAGATATATATCAAAATATAAGCATTAGCTATGTGATAAAATTTAAGTTCAGACATTATAAAAGAGAAAGTAATGGAAAAAAGAAAGAAAGAAAGAAAGAAATAGGCAAGGAAAAAGAGGGGGAGGGAAAAATGGACATGCAAAGGGGGATAACAAGACCTTGAAGGAGAGGCCGGTGGTGCACCCCCACACCCCCTACCATGTGATGCCACCCCATCCTCAACATGCAGCAAAATTACCCCTTTTGGCCCTGTTTTTTTTTTTAAAAAGATGACCGGTAAGGGGATCTTAACCCTTGACTTGGTGTTGTCAGCACCACGCTCAGCCAGTGAGCAAGCCGGCCATCCCTATATGGGATCCGAACCCGCGGCCTTGGTGTTGTCAGCACCACGCTCAGCCAGTGAGCAAGCCGGCCATCCCTATATGGGATCCGAACCCGCGGCCTTGGTGTTGTCAGCACCACGCTCAGCCAGTGAGCAAGCCGGCCATCCCTATATGGGATCCGAACCCGCGGCCTTGGTGTTGTCAGCACCACGCTCAGCCAGTGAGCAAGCCGGCCATCCCTATATGGGATCCGAACCCGCGGCCTTGGTGTTGTCAGCACCACGCTCAGCCAGTGAGCAAGCCGGCCATCCCTATATGGGATCCGAACCCGCGGCCTTGGTGTTGTCAGCACCGCACTCTCCCGAGCGAGCCACAGGGCCGGCCCTTGGCCCTGTTTTTTAAAACCCCAACTGCCAATACCCAATCCCATTCCCACTAGCCTGGTCCATGTCAGTGCCTAAGCTGGCCCTTCCCTGTTTCGGTCTAAGAGCCCACTTCTCTCTTCTGCCTCGCCTCTGTTCCCAGACATCCCCTTCCCTAAGACCTAGCCTGCCTCTCATTTCATATCCTACTTTCCAGTTTGAGAGTCTGTTGCATCCTATCCAGGCCTCCTGGAGAACTAGGCCTCCCCCATGAGGCAACTCACCAAGGCCTGGCCTGCCCAAGTGGTACCCTGAGCTCAGATTTGTTTCCTCTTCTGCCTCTCTTAAAACTTGTTTTAACCTAGCAATTACATTGGAAAGGACATTATCAAATAATTCATACTAAGGTATTATTGACTACTATCAACCTCATTAACCCAAAAGAATGAATAATGTAGTATTTCTGACATCTGTCAACCATCTGTATAGGGGCCTTCCTTGCATCTCAATGAAGGCCAAGCCTGCCTCCCACCCAACTGCTCCTCTCCCTCCACATGATGGCCTGCCCCTCACCCACCCTCCCTTGCTAATGCCACTGGCACCACTCTTCCCCCTCAACCTCCACGACACCTCCTCCTACCTCTGCATGAGTGGAAAGAAAAGTGCTGGCACATGGTGGGGTTAGCACTTCTAGTAGACATATGCATAAGCTGCTGATCATTCTGGAAGGGGGAGAATGACAGCAAACTTTGAATTTTAAAAAGAGAATGGGGGGATGAATTAAGCCAAGAACTCTAAGTGACCCTTCATTGGACCCCAGTACTTTATCCTTTTGCTTGAAATGTTTCTAACCCTGGCATTTTAAATCAAAGGAGTTCTCCCTAAACCCATTGTCAGGAGACAAATTCTGTCCTTTCATTTCTCAAGTCTTTTGCTTAGATAATGGCCACCTCAACACCAAGAATTCTGGAACAGTAAAGACACCAAAAATCAGTGTTCTTTTTAGGACACCCAAGTAGTTTCGAACACAGGAAAGCAGTTCCTTTTTTTCCTTTTCTTCTTTGATTAAGAAAAGAAAGGGAGGGTGGAAAGAAAAATGTTTAGCAAAAAATAAAAAGAAAGAAAGAAGAGAGAGAGAAAGGAAGGAAGGCAGGCAGGCACTAAGTCCAGGCCCTCAAATACTCACGACTTGTTTCTGTTTGAGCGGCTTGATGCAGAAAGTCCCATCTGTGTGCTGGAATGAAAACAAGATAGTTATGACAAGTAAGGGAGGACAATACAGCACCAGATACCTTTTGATACTTCTCTCAATTACATATGTTCTTAGACACTCACAGGGTGAAAGTACAGAATCCTAATACCGAAGGGTCTCACAGTCTGACCCTTTCATCTTAAGTAAATGAGACCAAGGCCTAAGGAACTGAAGGTCATGCAGCAAGCTGGTGGCAGAGCTGGGCTGGACCCCAGCACAGGCCAGGGTGCTGCTTGTTCACACCACCATAGTCTCTCAAGCCGGCCCATTCTGCTGAACTCAGGCCACCAGCAGGCAGGTTCCCACATGTCCATGCATGAAAGAAAGGGCTAAACATCATACAGTGAGGACCCATAAAGCTACTTACCTTCTCAAAAGTACCCAGCAGTACATGGCAATGGCCAAAATACTCTGAAAGAAATGGAGGCACACGGATGAAAAAGGCCAACACCACACCTTGATGCCCACCACCTGCCTGGATTCCCTGCAAACCAAATGTGCTGTCCCCAGAAGGGCATGTTATGTGTAACCCAACACTCTTAACATCAGCCTAAGGAGCTTGGGGTCACACATGTGACAGGAGGCAGAACTGCCCGACTGAGATCCACAGCTCATTCTTGGGCCATAGCTGCTACCAGGACTATGCCACGAAAGGGTGGCGTGCATAGCAAAAGAAGACAGAAATCACCCTACCATCTCCTTCATCCACCGCAGCATGGACCACTAATGGGTAAACCTCTCGGTCCAGATCAAAGCCAAGCTGAAGGGAATGAAAAGAGAAAAAGAGGACTTAACACATGTAGATGGCACAGTAAGCCATCAGATAGGGAGGCGCTGTCAAGAGGCATTAACCTCAGCTCTGCTCCCATTTATCAACCTTGTAACTACCCAAGTCTGTTTAACCAAAGGCCACCAGTTGCATTTTTAAAATCTCACAGACGCAAAGCCCTCTAACCTGCAGGTGTTTTTCTTTGAGCATGGCTTTCTCAAAGTATCCTTGGGCCACTATGGAATAGAAAAATCAACAAGGTAGGTAAATCCTTGCTGTGAAATAAGCAGAACTTCTAAGGGCAGGAAGAGGTCATGAGTTGGAAAAGTGAGTGCGGTCTCCAGGAACCTGGACGGCCTCTTTGCTGTGGGCCCAGGTCCCCAGAAGCTCCCAGGTCCTCCCGGGGCTTTGTATGGAAGCCGCACTGGGGCAGCTCACCTCCTCTTCAGACCATTCGGATGGATCCACGGTATGGGAGGGCAGGCAGAACTGCTGACACACCCCTCGCTTGTAGTGCACAGTCTCCGACTGGAGGCTGTTGTCTTTCGGAATATAGCTGTTGATACAAGTGGGAAGCAAAGCAAAAGTTAGTACCTAGCCCAGAAGGACCTGACAACTTCCTCTGCCTCATACCTGTTCTCAATTACCAACAGGCTCTAGCATAGAAAGGCCTCCTTTATCACCCATTCCCTTTGCTCTTCTTTGGTAATGTTATCAAACTTATCTCTTCAACCCACGCAGCCACAGAAAGGTCACTTAATAGATTTATAACAGCATCTTAAGGACTGAAGGGCTATGCTGCCACCTGCCACTGTACCAGGATGGTACAATTTGAAGGGACAGGTGAAAGAGGAGGGCTTTGTAGAATTAAATCTACATTCAGGAACCAGATCTCACCTGGTTATAGGAAAAGCATGTTTTCCTCCATAGGTGAGTGCATAAGACATGAACCCTACCTGTCCGGGAAGGAAGCGGCTTACCTGACCTCTTGTTCTTACCTGGCAATACCATTCTGGAACTCTTCGGTGGCTTGATAATAGATGGTGATGGCTACCTGAGCATCTGTGTCGAAGGTGAACTCGACATTGTAGTGGACTTTTGCTTTGCCGGCCTCTTCCTCAGGGCTCTTCACTTCCTCAGCACATCTAGAAAACCACAAAAGACTCAGCATTTGGGAGGCAGCATATCAATATTTTAAAATTTACCTTTTTTTTTTTTTTAAAACAATACATGTGGGCTTCTGTCCATGATCATAAACATAGGTCTACATCTTCATTGTTAATGATTTGCAGAGTTCTTCATTACCAATACTGTTGGGTATTTAGGTTATTTCCAATATTGCACAGTGCTACAATTAACATCCTTGTGCATTTGCCAGACTTTTTTATTTTAGTTTTTATTTTAATTAAACTTATTAATCACATAGTTTAAAAAGTTTCCACAAGGCTTGTTACAAAAACCAGCAGGTCTTACTCCTTCTCTTTCCTCTTTTTCAGCTGAAAGCTGATCATTTTGGCATTTACCCACATGTTTCTAAATAACATGCTTGGGTTACTACTTTTATTTATTTATTATTTTAGCATCTGGCTGGTATGGGGATCCAAATCCTTGGCCCTGGTGTTACAAGGCTGTTCCCTAATCAACTGAGCTAACTTGATTTTTCAGCTTAAGGCATTATCTGTTTTGATTTCCTACTATGAAAACGAGGATTTCTTTCTCTTTCCTCACTCTGCCCCACATAAGAACTCTCCCATCCCTTAGTGTAGTTCTATCACAATTTTATCAGTTCAGTACTTTAGTGTCTGTATTATGGTGATTATGTAAACATTATTCACAGGTTAGCCACAGAGTAGTCTATGATTATTTTTCTTTTCCTGCGTACCTTTTTCTTAGAGTTAGTGCTCATCTTGTGTTTTTCAGTTGCTTAGTTTTCTATGCTGTCATCACAAATTCTGACCCAAAGTCTCTGCCAGCTGTCTAAATCTCTCAAGACACACAGATGCTCTGGGTGGTCCACTCATTTAATCTTCCTGAGGAGGCCCCTTCTGGAGCCCTCTGACCTGCTTCCTCTGGATCCCTGGCCCTCTGTACCTGGCACCCAGCTGCCATCCTGGAATCCCGCCCTAGCCCCCATCATCCTGGTGGTTCCCTTCTGCCTCTGTCCTGTGCAAGCTCATGTCTTCCTCTTTCTTGGGATACTCTTTCATTTTGGTGACGCACTCTTCCACTAGCTTCCTGAAAAAGGATGTGTTGGGGGATAAACTTTTTGAGAGCTTTTATTCTACACTTGCACTTCATCGAACGTTTGGCTGAGCAAAGAATTCTAATCATAAATACTTTTTAAAAGGCATTTGAAAGCTTCACTGCCATATCTTTGAGCTCCCAGTGTTGCTCTCAAGAAGTCTGAAGCCGTTCCAACTGCTGATCCTTCTTCTTCTGACAGCTTACAAAAGCTCCTCTTTATCATTCATCGTGCTGGGCACTTGGTGCTCCTTTCCATTTAGAAACCTGTGCCCTCTGGTTCTGAGAATTAATAATGTATGTCACTAATGATTTCCTTCCTTCTATATTTTCTGTTCTCTCCAGAACTGTTGGATGTTAGGCCTGTAAACTGGTGTTCTATTATTTGTATCTTTTTGCTCTACTTTCTAGAGCAAATATTTCAACTTTTCTTCCTACCATTCTACTGAATGTTTCATTTCTGCTGCTATGTTAATTTCTAAGAAAGCTTTTTTTTTTTTTTTTTTTTTTTTTTTTTTAACCATACCATGCTCCCTGGTATGGTAAGAGAGCTTTTTTGTTTCCTAAATGCTTTGTGTCATTGTATCCATAAAATAAAGTGACAGTATCTTCTCTAATGTTTCTGTGGCTATTAATGAAGTTTTCTTCTTGCAGTTTTTGTTTCCAATTAGTAGTAGTTGTTTTTTCTGTTGGTTTGTTTTGCCACTGTTTTTCATATTATAGGCATTCCTTAACACAACTAAGAATCTTTGGCTGTCTGCTCATATTTAAGAAATTTGAAACTGCTGATTAGAATTCAGTATATAACAGGACTCAGGGACCCTGGGCTTCACTGTAGTCTAATATGGGTCTTTCAAGGAACCTCCAATTCTAGTCTCCTAGGTTTTCCCACCCAGTGGTCCAATTCCCAGAGAACAGTTTTCCTCTCTCCTGACAATGAATGGCCTGGCTTCTGGCATTCTGGGGCAGAGTGGGGAGGCAGGCTAGAGGGCTCAGCATCTGATCTGTCTAAATTCACTTAGCCCCTTGTTTTTAGCACTGAGTCTGGCCCTTAGCTGTGCCTGCATCCCCCACATCCACAGATTCTCTGTTTTAACCTTCCTAGTCAGTCATATGCCAGATTTTGCCAGGATGTGGGAAGGGTAGTTCTAGCTGTGTTGTACAAGGGAGAGGATCTGACTACCTGTTAGGCAGGCTTTCCACCAATCCTCTCCATTTTAGCTTTCCACCTTCACTTCCAGAGGGAGCTGGTACTGCCAATTCCTGATCCTTTGGGGGATATCACAGTATACACTGGGAAGTTCTCAGCTTTTCCTTCTGCTAGCTCAGGATTCTGATTTCCTAGGTCTACTAAGTCATTTAACATTCACCATCTGTTTCTAGCTTCTAAGATTTTGTTGCTGTTGCTCCTTTCACATTCTCCCAATTCTTATGGATTTATGCCTTTCTTTTTTATTTTTGTGGATTTATGTCTTTAAAAAATACTTGCATTATTATTTAGTAGGGTTTTGAGAGGAAGCAGAAGCAGATGTTCAATCTCTAGGTTTACCTGGAAATCTGAGAATCAGAACATACTCTATTCCCATAATCTCAAATACACACAAAAAAAAACACCCTTCACCTTAACATTTATTGAACACCAGCTGTTTTCCCTTTCTGTTATCTTATTCAATTTTGACAACCACCATGAAAGGTAAGGTTGATTATCAGATGGGAAACCCGAAGCTCAGAGACTTGTTGGAGCAAGCATCCATGGAGCTGGGAGGCAGATTGATCTTTGGCTTCCAGGCCCGGTTCTTCCAGCACATCACAGCTGCTTCACTCTACTCTCAATCTGCAGCCAGGCCACCACATAAGGGGCCAGGACCTCACAATGGCACAGGCCCTTGAACACATCTCTATCAAATGTATGAACATCCATATGTGAAGAGAGAAACCAAGTGGACAGGGGAGCTGACAGCGGGCGGGCTCCCAAGGACTCTTAGGCTCAGTCTGCTCTGTTTCTGTAGGAACACCTTGCACAGGGGGACTGTTCTGTAGCTGACAAGTACCCCCTTGGCTCCCTCGTTCCCAGAGTTGACCCCAGATGTGGAGAGAAGCATTGCTAAGGAAGCAGTAGGAAACATCAAGGACAAATAAAATAATAATTAAGAGGGACATAAAATAAATTAATGGTTACTCAGGGCTGCAAGGAGGAGTTTGGGGACAATGGGGAGTGACCGCTAGTGCATATATGGTTTCTTTTTGGAATGATGAAAATGTTTTAAAATTAGATAGTGGTAATGATCCACAACTCTGTGAATTCACTAACAACACTGAATCGTACACTAACATGAGTGAATTGTATGATATGTGAATTATATCTTGAGAAAGTTATTATATTAAACAAAAATCAGAAAGAAACTTCCTAATGCTAATTAGGCATCTTTGTTCATTTAGAAAAATTCAGGACTTCTGGTTTGCCCTAATCAAATTTGTCTCTCCCAGGAACCAGAGAGCCTTAGGAGACATACTATTTGCAGGGGCAGCATCAGATTAAAAATTATACAACCTCAGGAATTGCACAAAGAAGGCAAATATTGATGATAATATTGATGGTGAGGATTAAACAACCAACCCAGGGCACTATGAGTTCCTTAGAGGAAAGGCACATGACATTAGGAAAACAAAAGTAAATATAAGCAATTGGGCTGGCCAGTTAGTTCACTTGGTTAGAGCGTGGTGCTGATAACACCAAGCACCAGGGCCAAGGGTTCAGATCCCCACACTGGCCAGTTGCAAAATAAATAAATAAATGCACACACATAAGCAATAAAAAGGATTTTATATCCCAAGTTCAAATATTCCCTTTTTATATAGGCTTGTTGGGGCATCTGCAAAATTCCCCTTTTTTCTCAATTCTTCTTCTTTTTTTTTTTTTTCCTTTTTGTCTTTTTTCGTGACCGGTAACGGGATCGCAACCCTCGGTGTCGCGCCCACACCGCG